GTGCTGAGACCATGCTGGAAGCTATGCGGCGAGAGAACGAGCATCTGAGGAATAAACTCGTGGAGACGGAGAGGGATTATATTCGAATAACGAGACTCAACGAAGTTTATAGGGAAGAGCTCATCGATCACAGGAGACGTGTAGCTATTTCCATGCGTGCTCATATCCCCGCCACACTCTAATGGACTTTTGACAGCTGGGGTTGTCCGTTGACAACTTGATAGGCCTATCCTCAACCGATCCCTACTCCCAACATACGCATAGGAGGAAGTCATCCCCAGTATCATATTCTAATTCATCATCTCCAGCGACATCAGTGATGTACGCGTCGACACAAGGTGCTCGACCAAGCCATGGCGTGCCGATCCCACGACCTCCGTCACAGATTCACCGACCCGTGCATCAAGGCTCCGAAGGAAACACACCGCTCTCACACTCCCCGTCGTCGTCCGAATCGCCGTTTCTATTCTCCCCAGTAACGAACCCGACAAGCCTCATCAGCCCCTCTACAAATATAACAAGCGCCCCTTCGTCATATTCGTTCAACTCTAATCAAAGCATGTCCTTTACTGCCCCTCGTACACTCTCTTATCCTTCGGTACCCCCGCCATCGCTCTCTTCGTCGTTCGGATCGCCGACAGTGTCATATCATATGACGTATGGAGAACACTCCCCCGCTGAGCCGTCCAGTCGGCGAAACTCAGGCACCCGGAGGGGCGCCGATTGGCGGACTACGGAGTCAGGTATCCGGGGGATCAGCGACAATAACAGCCGAAGGAACAGTGTGGAGAGGGGAGCCAGAGTGGCGGAAACTGGAACGCTGATACCACGTAGCCGAACGGACAGTTACAGCCTTGCTCCGACGACTGAAGCGCCCGACAACCTTGACATCAATGCCAACGCTGTTGATGCAAAGGTTTCCGAATCGGAGTCGAAGTTATAGCCAGCTGAACTTTTCATTGTCTGATTTTGGGAAGAGAAAAAACTTACTGTATAACAATAATAGCTAGAGTACAATAGTACGTAGTCATCTCCCTCCATTGTTTTGCTTGTGAACGTCGAGAGCGGGGACTTGTAATAGTAATACGTTACCGTCGTTACGTATGGGCCCATGAGGCGGGAGCACGTGGGCCCGCCAAATCCCGACGAATGCTGTGCCGGGACCCCGGAAGTACCAAGTTCCCAGGGGTCCTCTTGCCTCCCTCCCATTGTTGTACGGAAGCGGACGCGTGATGACTCGTTGTGATCCCGCCCTATAAGAAACACCACGATGAACCACCTTGATCTGTATTTCTCCATGTCGTATCCCTACGGCCAGTATCCCGGTGAAATTTTTTCTAACCCAGCAACGCCACTCACTTTTCCAACCTGGGAGACGATGGAGAATGAGGAAGCACAACAAGCGCAACAGCAACACCACACCCAACAGATACAGCCGCCACAACAGCCGTCTGACCTTCCTTCCCCAACGGGACCGCCGCCGCATACACCACTGCAACACCAAACGATACAACTTGAAGAACCTTCACACCTTGTGCCATCTCAACCACGCCCTGTGTATGACGATGCCCCAATTCGACTTCACCATGTGCATCAGAGACCTGAAAGGCAGCGAGAAAGTTTGAGGGATTCCGAATCAGGGAACCTGCACGTTGAGACCTCGCGTTCGGGTGCGCCATCGACATCCACAACAGGCCCCGTCAGGCAGCCACGCTCCGCGCGCCACCAACAGCAACAACTTCACCCATACCGGCGACCATCAAGCGCAGTGAGTGCGGCGCCTCCGTCACGCCAACAGCCGCTCCTCAGATTCGCAAGTGTGCAGCCGTCGTCGTCTTCGATGCCTTCTCCTGCGGTACCGTCGCCGGCTATGCCATCTCCAGCGAGTGCAACAAGCCGGCTTGCAAGTTTTGGTTCCGGAATCGGGTACGTTGTCCTTGCCGTCCACGGGCCTTATTTGCGAAATGCTCCTCTTCTAGGTCGCCAGTGGACACTCTACTCGCTCCAACAGCAAGGCACGAGGCAAGATATGAAACGAGGCGCCTGTACCTCCTTCGAACGGATTCGCACTATGACCCGGAGAGTAAGAAGCTTGTTGCCATGCTCGAAGTCCCTGGTGTGAGGAAAGCCGACGTGAGAGTGACGCTCTCGACGTGCCCCTGGAACCGCGTGAGGCAGATCACTGTGTCTGGCACCTCAAGACCAGTGTTTCCCCCTGCTTTAGCTTCTGAGTCCGCGGACGTGGGGCCTGAGCTTACCATAAGAGAGCGGAAATTTGGCGAGTTTGCAAGAACGTTTGCTGTTCCGTCCGATACCAATGTGCGCCTTTCACCTGGCGCGCCTCCGGGTTTGCTTTTTTGATCGTATTCTCTTTTTTTCCCTGTTCGTCAGCGTGAAGACATCGAGGCGTCCATGGAAGATGGCGTTCTTACGATAAAAGTGCCTTGTGGGATACCAGTGCATCCCAATCCTGAAGATATACCCATCACATGAGTTGAGTCTCGCGACACTTCCTCAAGATCAACCTCCTCAAGATTCACCCCTCCTCAAGATTCACCCCTCCTCAAGATTCAACGACTCTAGAAGCGTATACAACAAAATCTCTTGACACCATTAGTTTCTCTGCATCAGCTCCTTGACCACGACTCACCTGTATATTTGTCTCAGTAGCCCCCACCCCGCCACTGTATCTAGCATTCCTCACCACCCCACTCCTCATTTTTACTTTTCATTTATTTGGTAGACCCAGCGTACCCTTGGACTCCCTCCCTCTAGCAGACACCTCCACACCCGACTCCAGCGGATATCTATAGGGGTTCCGTCTCTGCACATATACCTTGTTATTGAACATTATAATCGTACCTTGATCTCCATAGTAGTTAACCCAATCGACCAGTTTCTTGCTTGATAACCTGCGCGTCGAGGATAGGGTGCGGGAGTGAGGGCACAATGCATTTGCTCAACATAACTTTGGTTCAACAATTTATGACGGATGCGGCATTGTTCCTGACCATGATGCCAATTCCGCAGTGACTATTCGGGAACAAACAATGGCACGTGTGGCAATAATGCCACGAAAGAGATCCCATTGCACTGCACCTGCACTGCACATCGCCGACCTCGTCCCTGGTTCTCCAACTGCCCAACTTTTTCTGGCCTGTAGGCCATTCCCTCCCATCCTTTCTTTTTCACGAACAACTCGCCATGGTCGATGATAAATACATCGGCCTTGTTCTAGCCATTTCTGGTTCCGTGCTCATTGGTACCAGCTTCATTATTACCAAAAAGGTGGCAACGGTTCATCTATTTTTCCGTCGCTTTGCTCATTTTTCCTCACAAGGGGTTGAACGACGCTGCTAAACGCAATGCAGCTTATGGAGCCCAGTCTGCGACGGATGGCTTGGCATATCTGAAGAATCCAATATGGTGGACGGGCCTGTCGACTAGTGCGTCTCCTTTCCGTTCCATCACGAAGTTTCCAATTGACATTCCATTCTCTCTCAAAGTGGTTGTTGGAGAAAGTAACTCTCGTCTCTCCGGGATGTTTGAAACGGATCTCTAACCGCCATTTACAGTTGCGAATTTTGCCGCTTATGCCTTTGCCCCGCCAATCCTGGTTACGCCTCTGGGAGCCTTGAGCGTGTTGATCGGGTACGCCTTCCTTCCTACCGCTCGTTGCTCGAAAGGTCGTGACCTTCTTGAAACAGTGCTGTTCTCGCCTCGTTCCTTCTACACGAAGAACTTGGGCATCTGGGACGCCTTGGATGCACATTATGTCTAATCGGGTCACTCATCATCGTCCTTCACGCCCCGGAGGATAAAGAAGTCGAAACGGTCGAGGAGTATCTGAGTTATGCCCTACGACCAGGTGCGCCCGCCAAGCTGATGCTGCTCCGGCTATCTAACCCACGATCTCAGGTTTTCTGTTGTATGTCTTTACGGTCCTTGTATTCACCTTGGTCATGGTGTACGCCGTAGCACCCAAATACGGTCGTTCGAATCCCCTCATCTACATCTCCATCTGCTCCCTCGTCGGCTCTGTATCGGTCATGGCCATTAAAGGCTTCGGTGTCGCGGTCAAGCTAACATTCGGCGGAAAGAACCAATTCTCGCACCCAGACACGTACATTCTGGGCTTCATTGTGGCACTTTGTATCCTTATCCAAATGAACTACTTCAACAAGGCGTTGGACATCTTCTCGACTAACGTGTACGTGTCTACCTTGCAATTCTCACCTCGATTCCGCTCTGACGTTCCCATGTAGGGTAAACCCGATGTATTTTGTTGGCTTCTCGACAGCCACCGCCACCGCTTCCCTCATTCTCTTCCAAGGATTCAACACAACTGGCGCTACAAACACCGTCTCCTTACTTTGCGGATTTGCCGTAACCTTCATGGGTGTCCACCTCCTGAACCTTTCTCGACAGCGAGAACCTGCCCTCGGCGAACATTCGACCCTCGAGGGTGGTCTGATGAACCCCCGACTGAGCTTACAAGGCCGCATGTCGCTGGATGGGTGGAACAACGCCGATACCCGGATAGGGCCCGTACCCTCGCCACGCGGGCACGGCCGGAGAAGCTCGTTGTACCGCAATCAGTCCTCCACGCTCTTCAACGCGTTTGACGAGCACGAGGACGCGGAGGCGGTGGGCCTGCAGCGGCTCAGGGAGGAGGACGAGTCTGATGATGAAGACCATGCAGATGAGCGGACGCGCTTGAATAAGACGAGCACGCCGCCGATGAATGGGAATGGCATACAGAGCGGGTCTCGAAGCCATAGCCACTCACCCATCCCGAGCCGTTCGGCATCGACTGATGTCCGGATAGCGCTGCCATGACATGACCGTCGTCTGTTACAATTATACATACCCCCTCGCGATATGGACATGTTAAAATAGAACTCTCGGGTAATTGCTAGATCTGTTGAAAGCGCATTAGTTGTCATCCCTGCAGCAACTAAGTCATGAAGCAAAAAATGGTTGTAAGGGCGAGCAAAAGTTGGTTCAATCCAGGATCGAACTGGAGACCTTCTGTGACCGAGGTTAACCCAACGGAGTCCCAACTGTGAGACAGAAATCATAACCACTAGACCATTGAACCGTTGATATTTGGGAGGTGTCAGAGAAACCCATCCCACCTGCGTACATAATACCCCCCTTTCCAGCTAGATAATCAGAACGAGGGAGAGACTGGGTGCGACAGGCAAGGAAAAATACGTGCAGGAAGATTAACTTTACGGTGTGCAAGTTGGATTCATGTCCTGGGGTGAAAAGAAGCAAAAATTGGTTCAATCCAGGATCGAACTGGAGACCTTCTGTGACCGTAGGGCAACCTAACGGAGTCCCAGCTGTGAGACAGAAATCATAACCACTAGACCATTGAACCGCTTGACTGACCATCTTTTGTGATGGTTACAATCTAAAAGATCGTGTATCGAGGCTGTATAGTGCCGAGTGCCGATATGGTCCCACGCGGCCATAGTCTCCCCTAGACAGACACAATCAGTCGTTCCTCCTTTCTTGTCCCACACTCTGGAGTCAAAATAACCACGACGTCGGACCAGCCGCCACAACAGCTCCCACTGGGCTCTTCTAATGTTCTATCTCTATGACCATACTTATTCAATACTGATACACAGCTCAGCCTACTGGCTGCTCTTATTCTGGAAAGTCTCTGCCGTTATGCTCTCGCTGCACCACGTTCAGCTTTCACCATCTACTTCTGCTTTGTTGTTGCCTCTCCCGCTTTTAATCCATAACATATCAGGAAATCCGACATACGTGCCCAATGCATGCCCGAGATTACTCACGTCGACTGCTCACTGCGGTAGGCTGCCTCTTGTTCCGGAATGACCAAGTCTGCCGCCTCAGGCACGTTGACTTGGCTAATCTGGACCATGTGCTGCAATACAATAAGCATGGCGGCGCTCATCCGCTAAATCCTCTCTGACAAGGCACACCTTCGCATTACGCTGCATTTCGTCATTTGTACGGCGAAACCCCATTTTTCTTTGGCTTCGATGAACATCGACTCTGGATCTTTCTAGATTTCTGGAATTTAGACGGCTTATTCTAATGAGAAACCCCCCTTCGACAGACTAACCCAGGTACCGTCGCACACCAGGGTCAGGTCTATTTCTGATGGTGTGCCGACCGGATCAGTAGCTATCAGTAGTTGCTATCGGGGTCCTGGCACCCTGTGACCTTGGAAAAGGTATAGCAATAGATATCATTGTCGAGGATATCATAAGTAGCCCAAAACCTCGAGCTTTCGAGAGTGGTGGTGAAATGTGATGTGTCTATCTGAGTTCGGGCAAAATATGGTCATAAAATACTCTATATCTGTTTGGCTATTACTACTACTAGTGCTTAACGCTTGTTTCAAACAATCACACCATGTATAATTTATTTCTACCGATCGCGCTACGTGCAATTCGGCATGCGAGGACCTGAACATCTTCTGAGAGTTGATGTTCTTGTTATCAGGTAGAACGAAACGATGGGTGGTCATTCCAGCATGGCAAGACTTCTAGTAGAAGTTCAAACTCCGCTGATGCGGCCGGTCCGCGCCTGTAGTGAACGACAAGTCGACAAGTAAAATCCCTACACGCCTTAGCACCTTTCTGTAAGTGAGATGAATGAACCGAATACATTTCCACACTGTTCTATCGATTTGGCCACTCAAAAAGGTTTGCCAGCCACGTCAAGCAAAACTGTGAGAGATTTGGCAAGTTTAATCATGGAGCTTTCATGGCGAAATCACTTGGTCCTTGAACTCGCAACCTCATGCGAATGGAGCCCCGCAGCTAGTGTGCAGCGGCATCAAGCTGGATCTCTGAGTGAATTTTCTTGATTCTGTCTCCGCCTCTGCTGGCGGAATATACAGAGGCTCTACCTATGCTCGGTTTTCGTAGTTTGCAGCTAAACCATTTTACTGGATCACAAATACTCGTAGATACATTACTTGTCGCGACTTTGAAGCAAAATAGAATATTAGATGCCTCGGAAAATATACAGGCGAAGGTCACAAACTACATTGGGAAGGTGCCGAAGGACCCCATCACTCGTTTCGTGGTCCGCACATGTCGCATCACTCGAAAGTAGACCTGACCTTGGTGTGCGACGGTACCCAGGGTTAGCCAACGATCCCCATGACTTTATCATTTAGAAAGAGGGTTCGCGCCGGCCGGTGATGGGCGCCCGATTTGGTAAAGCGATGGATCAAAGTCACAGACTGATAGTGACTCTCAGCCTCTATCACCCACTACATCACGGTCTCCCCGCTCCAAGTACCGGCCGCTCTTATTTCTTCATCGAGCTGGAGTCTGATAAGAAGCAAGAGAATGTGGAGACGAATATGTAGCAAGGCCTCGGGATGGAGTTAGCATTCGACGTCGCGACACTGATATCAAGCAGGAATTAAGTGCGTATCCGGCCTCGCTGCGCACGACGCCTTGCTGATCAGATTAACCGGAATGCGTACCCTCGCGGATGTCAGAAAGTGCTGCGTCCCGCCATTGACCGACGGCTGGTACAGTTGATTTTCGATATTGAGCAAGAAACTCAACTTGAAGTGCGCCGTATTCTGTCATCGGCCGACGACCGACGAGCCTGCCAGAACCTGAAGGAGCACTTCTCTTCGATATCCCGTTCTATAGCTCATGTACGAATTGATATGAAGTAACTTCAATGCGTCGAAATTTCGTCTGAGTGCCAGTCTGACTTCTGAGGTGTGACAGGCACCAGTGATGTGATCCCGGCGACGGCGCCGACCATCAACTTTGCACAACCTAGGTTTCTATATTAGAAAGTTTGGCGAAGGGGGGTTAGTATGGCTAAGTGGGGTTTCTGCATAGAATAAGCCTATTTAGACGCGTTCCCACTGCATTGACATCGTCATCTAGATCGCGACTGAGCCGCTGGATACACCAATGCTTATACGATAGACACTTGAAGTCCCGTATTCCTTTTACGCTCAGAGGTCCACCCAGCCCACGGTCAGCGAGGAATGACGTCGACTCTCATGGGATATGTGTCCCCCGACTGGGAGCGGTATGCATCCGAAGCTGTCGACTCGACAGGCCTGACGGATGGCAGACATATCCCATGATTTTATATAATGTTTTCTCGGGACGTCAATGAATGGAGACACGCAAGTTGCGGCACGCCGCACCACCGTCAATAACCGCACAGCCAGCCAGTCTCTACCTCGGCAATAGCCTCCCACCTGTTCTAGAAAACCATGCAGTTGTCACTGCCGGGACTGATCTTGGTACTACCGCCATAGCAGCTGTCGGTCCCCGCCACCACCACGGCGCACCTCGTCAGCTATAAGCCGCGGTAAGAGAACAGACTCCCAGGTCATTTTCCGCAGTCACTTGGATGTTCCGATGGCCGTGTCGTCGTCCCTGCGCTGATTAGGATGCAGGTGTAGATTTGAGTTTGGATTTGGATTTGGAAGCATTGCCTCAAGGTTCTTTCTTTTGGTTCTGCGCCGGTTCCGTAAGCATGCGATCTCGCTAAACTGGGTCCGGGGGCATTAGGTCCTCCTCCTTACTGGATACAGGGTGGTGATAGGCACCACGCCCCAGTGGCGGTGAAAAGAGCCGTTCCTAAGTTCCCTGAGCAGCCCGGTTGACGGCAGAACCTTGCTTGCAATTGAATTGTCGGGTATGTACATTCCTCCAAAACACCATCCATGATTGGGCCACACTGATAGTTCTGTCCAATGTTCCTGCCGGCCCAGATGTCCCTAGTATCTCAGCCAGACACGAAGTCGGGGCTGATGGTAGGTCCTCTGTTGTTGAGGCATGTCGGCGGTGGGAAAAGATATGGAGCTGAACGAAGGCCCGGCCGATGACCACATGAGTGGGCTATCGACGTGTATTGAGTCTCTTTAATAATGATACCCTCGGTAATGATGTTACGACAGGTTACGATATTCACTGGAGAGTAAGGGCGAGATCCTGAGAACAGCTCCCCCAGATAGGCATCGACTTCCTGAAGGGGCGGAAGATTCAGCGCACCAGGCACTAAGGGCCAATTATAGAACGTCAGTCAATGATCACAGGCATCGCTTGCCGACCCAAGGAATGGAAATGCGTCCTCTCGCCGTGGTGCGATATATAACCTCTTTACCTTCCCTACACTGAAGGAGAAATGATGACCTGATACCACTAAGTTTATGGACACGTCAGGCATGCCTCGGTGGGAATCAAACGGCATAAATGAGATGCAAGATAAGTCAACGGTCCTTGGGCGGCAAATTGACTGCAGCTTATGGACAAAGGGCATGCGATTGGAAGGCGCCTGAAGATGCTGGACAGATGGACAGGCAGGTGTCGAGCGGGATGCGAAAGGCCATGAGAAGAGGCATTACGAAGAGAACGCCTTTATCCTGAGCTGTATCCGAGAGCATTATACTATTGATCCCAGTCATTGACGTATCGTGTATGCACTTGTCGTAGCAGTGTATAATCCAAGACACTGAAGGTGTCAAGGAAGGGGCGACGATTTCAATCGGAGCTTCGCAATTGACAGTGGGTACCCTTTGCACGCATGGTTCAGTGGAGTGGATCAGACAGACGGTGGCAGCGAAGGCCGCATGCGTGAATTGGGATCTAAAGCTGCGGTGCTATTTCTGGAAGTGTGCACTGGATGACAGACATCTGATAACAAGCTGACCAAAAGCAGATATTCAGGTTGGCGTTAAGTCTTGTCTCCGGATCAGATGGTCTCCAGGCCCCGCAAGGTACGAGCATTGAGTTTCCGAAGTGGAAAGATGTCGAAGACAGAGGTCGATTGTATGATGGAAGGTTAAGGTGATGCTATAAACCGCTGTGAGTGTGGGCGTCTCTGTCGCAAAGATTTTAAGAGAGTCCGGGGAAGAGAAGCTGATGGTTCCTTGTGCCTGTGGTTATTCACAGGGCTCCAGAGACCTGGAAAGCCTTGAGGCAACATGAGGGGGAGGAGGCTGAGAGGAGCAAGCAGATTGATCACATGAGAATGAACAGCCCTCGATCAGCGCAAATCAGAAGGCCCTTGCGAGTGATTTGACCTTGGAAAGGCGATTTCCGTCTGTTACTTATGTGCCTGATCCAA